CACACACTACGCTCAACCCACATTCACGCTGCTATTTACATTTTTTTACGGCCACAACTTTTTTCCGGAGTTCCCAGAGGACTTCAGAGTGAGACTACAGCTAGCCGTCTAAAACACTATCTTGTTGTTATTTAAGAGCCCTCTTCATGTTGGACAGACATTTCAATTGCATTTTGTGTCTGTTAAGAGGCACAAAGACACTTTATGAATATGTCCCCATAACTGCCGTTTTAAGGACCCGTTCAAGTGTCTATGTGGAAAGATATTTTTTTTTCTAACGAGAGGCCAAAATTATCCTTAATTTTCAATAAATGTAAAACGCGTTGCGCAGGATGCAGACATAGGCAAGGCGGCTTGCGTGCTTATTGGCTGTCCTGTGGCAACTGCAGCAGCATATCGAGAGAGGCCCTTGGTGTGACGTCAGGTCCAATAGGGGTGCTTCGCAAAGCAACTGAAATCCATAGATGTATTGCACAATAAATGTTCGTAAATTTAACATAACATCAACTATATGTAATAGTGTCTTTACTATGATTTCTTTAGTTCAAACAACATAACATTATGTATATGTAATAGGGACTTTACTAGGATTTCTTTAGTGCAACTCACATTTTCTTGTCGTTATTACTATTGTATTTAAGGATTTTTTGTCAACTTCACACAAACTTTTTTAGTACATACAACTTACATTTTGTTTATTGAAATTACTTAAAAAAGCAATGTGAAACCCACTTTACAAAGTTTTTTTTTTTTTTTTTTATAAATAAATCCAACATTTTATTTATTTATTTATTTTTTTTTTGAGTGTAGACGACTGGGTGAGAGCATCTCCAAAACTGCAGCTCGGGGTGTTTCCTGTCTGCAGCGGTCCGTGTCTATCAAAAGTGGTCCAAAGAAGGAACGGTGATTCGCGGCAACAGGGTCATGGGCTCATTGATGCACGTGGGGAACGAAGGCTGGCCTGTGTGTTCTGATCCAACAGATGAGCTGTAGCTTAAATAAATTGCTCGAGGTTAATGCTGGTGTCAGAATACACTGTGCATGGCAGTTTGTTGCATATGGGGCCACCGCCGAAAGCCAACAGTTGGCACGTGAGAACCTCAGAACCTGACCACAGAGAAATGGAAGAAGGTGGCCTGCATGGTCTGATATATAATGTTTTCTTTAACATCACGTGGATGGCCGGGTGCACTTCTGTCTTGGTTCAGGAAGGTTTGCGGAGCACAACAACGGTTGATTCGGCCTCCAAATTCCCCAGATCTCAATCCAATCGAGCATCTGTGGGATGTGCTGAACAAACAAGTCCGATCCATGGATGTTCCACCTCGCAACTTACAGGACAAAGGATCTGCTCGACGGGTCAGGGTTGTTTTGGTAGGAAAATGGGGACATAATGTTATGCCTGATTGGTGTATAGTTTTCACAGGTTCTAGTTGTGTGTCCAACATTGCTTTGTTACTACATCATATTTATCCTACTCGGGATGTTGCCACCCATATATATACTGTAATGTAAAATGTACATCATTTGTACATCTGCTTTCATCTGTCCTTTTTCAGGGACACTCTTGAAATTTTAGGATGCGATGCTGTTTCTGTCACAGCTGCCCAGACATGCAGAAAGTGCATAAGCCTTTAAATGTAATCTCTGCACATGCATCTGATTCCTGCCAGCGAAACCCGTTGCTGACCCACTTGACAGTTCTGCATTACATTTTCAGTCAAAACATAAGCCCAGTCTGCAGGCCCCTACTGTTTGAGCTGTTATATAAGCATGTGCTCACTCCCCGATTTTGTGGTGTGAGAGAGAGACTGCTAATCCTGATCTATGTATTTGAAGGAAAATGGGTGAATTTAAGTTCAACCGCAAACATGGTTTAAAATAATAGTTTTTTGACATTCTGATATGTTATTTTTTCAACTCAACTTTTTTTTTTACTCAAAGTGATGCTAAAAAAAGCAAAAGAGAAGCATTGTCATTAGTGTTCTTAGATGTTTGGAGACTATTTCAGGCATGTATCTAGACTCAACTGTTGATTACGTTGATTTGAGTGGTTGCCCGTGGTGAAAAACCAACAAAACAATCTTAAAAAGATTGGAAAGTTTGCTGTAATGCCCACAGTAAACTATCCTTACGTCTACAGCACTCTGGGCCAAGTAGCACACAGTCTGGATGCACTTTATGAGACAGCTTAAACCTCTTATAAGTCCAAGAAAGACAGGTTGACTTGGTGCACAGAGAGTGCATTCAGAACGGGCCACCGGCTGCCCGTTTATACTCAATGCAGAGGTGGTAATTGAATTTTTGGCAACAATCCTGTTATACGTTGTTGTGGATAACGACGTCGCAAGCCAAGTTTGCATTCTAAGGCTCATTGTCTGTTGGCTTAATTCCTGCTTGTACACAGTGCACAGATGGGAGTAAATATTTGTGGGGAACATATGAATCAGATGAGGCAGTTTACAATTCCAAGCTACAACAATAACGCAAACATACAACCCACCTTGACTCACTGAATAACTAAAATGGATGTAGTGCCGTGCTGCTGAGATTATAGAATGTGTGGCTTTTACTGCTGCCATCAAGTAAAGGAGTCTTTTATAGTTCTCTATAACATTTTCAATCTTATTCTACAATTGATTCACAATAGTTTTGAATGCTAATGATCTCTCTGACATTCCTGGAGTTTGCTTTATGTGATGGCTGATAAACTGAGGTCTGTGTTGGGATATTCTGGAGATTGTTGCGTTTTTGCCAATCGCAAAGTATGCAGCCACACCTTCAGTGAAGTAATTGTCAGGTTAAATATTACATATCCATATCTCATCATTCATCTCATGTTAACTGAGCCTTATCCAGCAATTATCAACGCATTTGGATCAAGTTCTCTTTGGCACTGGTGTTATCAGCAGGATTTCTGATGTAGTATTTTCATAAATGCAGTTTACCTTTTGCAAAGGTTCTTGTCATAACAGCTGACAAGTTCAACATGAAGGGTTATGAGTTCAGTGATGCAGGATATTGTGAGAATATTGTCTATTGCTAAGGGACCCTAAAGCCCCTAAAAAAAAAAAAATGTTGCTATGAAAGATATTACAAGGAATAATATCTAGTTTATGGTGTGAAAAGTAAAATGTTTTCTATCCAAAATGATCTGAAACATCATTTACGGCTTAAGTAGGAAATAATTGATTTTCAGAATAAATAAAAAGGGCTGTCTCAAAATAATCTTCAAAAAGTGAATGATTATTCTGCTCTGGCAAGGATCTCCTGGCAACTTTTGCCAATATACATATTTATGTCCCTGTAAACATAAACTGCATAGCATATTATAGACTTTATGGCTCTGCATATTTTTGTAATGTCCTGTTGCCTGAAGCTCTTTGAGGACTTAATTTCCAAAAACAACAATCCATCGTATCACATGAATTAGCCTGAGCTGAAAAGCATAATTATGACACTTTGCTGGCTCTCTCCCGGATGGCTCTGGAAAGTTAGAAAGCTCTTGAACTATAGTAGCTAACACCACAGACCGAACACCCAAACACAAACGAGGGAGACGAACTTGGCGACCCGTCGCAAGACTTTAAGGTTAATGTAAAGTCAGAGCAACCCGCAAAGAGCTGGTCATGAAAGTAGGCTGGAGGGAGTGCAATATTCATCAATCCTGCTATTGTTACAGAACCATCCATCTGGGAATCGCTGATGTATAAGATAAACAGATTTTCATAATTTCCCCAATCCCCTGCTATCCTCCATGTTTTCTTTTGGACAAAGATCTAAGGTGAAAAGGACTATATGCAGCCTCTCATGTAAACACTGTGTACACAAGTAGAGATTGATATGTGTGTTTGAGATGCAAATGACCAATGGACAAAGGAATCTTTGTGTTGCTGACCTTAATTGGCTTGAATGAATTTTCTGGGTCACGAGACAGTGTTGCTGTAATCGTTTCGTCGCATATCTGGATTCACGCTGAGGGTGACCCTGAGATTCAAGAGCTTTGATTGCTGCCTCCAGATGAACTTGGTCATTAGACGTAAAGAATCTGTCAGACTTAAGCAGTTGAAGCAGTTTGGCAAGGAATCGGGAACCTAAGTGATAAACAAGAGCAAACACTGTTGAGGATGACTTCACATTGTCAATCACAATGGGGAAATATTTGTGGGAGAGGCCACAGCCCGTGACTCATTTCACTGGGTGAAAAAGTATCGCGTCAAGTGTTGTTTGTCAGAGCTCACAATTACGTTGTTCCCGACCGCAACAATGATAAGAATCCACTTATCTGCAGCATCTACAACCATCTAATCGTTATAAACGAATACATTTCTGCCTTGCCCTGACAGGTCTGGCTTTTAATGTGGGACTTACTTAAATAGGGACAAACCCAAATGTTGGGTTAAATAAAAAAAAAAAAAAAAAAAAAAAAAAAAAAAACGTACAGTTGAAAGTGGAATTTGAAGTTTGAAATTACATATAACCCAATAGTTAGGTTTGTCCCTATTTGAACCAAATTTGGGTTAAAAGAACCCAGCAGTTTAGAGTCTATCTATCTATCTATCTATCTATCTATCTATCTATCTATCTATCTATCTATCTATCTATCTATCTATCTATCTATCTATCTATCTACCTACCTACCTACCTACCTATCTATCTATCTATCTATCTATCTATCTATCTATCTATCTATCTATCTATCTATCTATCTATCTATCTATCTATCTATCTATCTATCTATCTATTTAAAGTCTGTCCTTCCATCTTCCAACTGACAGTGTTCAATAACCTCGTTATATAACTATAAATCACATTTATGCATTTCATGCAAACGTATCACTTTATGCAGGGATACGTAATCTCATGTGGTAACCAGTAACTGACGGTTAAAAGCACCGAATCAGTTTCCATCTTTTTATTGCATGTAAAAGCACTTGTTATGACGTCACGCTCCCACCAGCCCCGCGTGCTTTATTTCAGAGCCCGGAATGATTTAGGGTATAAAAAGACGCAGAGCGATTCAGGAACCTGCCCAACGGGTAGCCTTTGGTTAACTGTAAAGCAGAAAGGAGGGGACGTTTGGCACTATAGCGCTCTTCTGTGCGTAAAGACGCTGATGCTTGGAGAGAAGCAGATTCGGGCTCACCGCGCGCAAACGCCCACATCCTCAAGTCGACTTTGCTTTCTTTTGGTGAATGAAAGTTTCCTAGGAGGGGGACGGAAGAAGAGATGATATCTGACCAGGATGAGTCGGAAAGGTGAATTTTAATAAGCAAAAGTGCGCGTTAGCCACCTGTTATATCAGCGCGAAATGGGCATGCTTAGTGTGGACCTCCTGGTAACTTTGCAGATATTGCCGGGTTTCTTCTCCAACTGCCTGTTTTTCGTGCTGTATGATTCGATAGTGCTGGTAAAGCGTGTGGTGTCGCTCCTGAGCTGCTCGGGCTCCACGGGTGAGTGGCAGCGAATGTTAACCACAGCAGGCGTGCGCTCCATATGGAACAGCTTTCTGCTGGATGCCTACAAACAGGTAAGCTGACAGCACAACACTGGGTCTGTTCACTGTGGAGTTTGCATCCCACAAGTTCAGAGGGCTTAGGGATTTGTTTTTCTATGTTGAGATGAAGTATATGTCTGGTTAGAATTTAGTGCCCACGGTACAGTATTTTTACCTACTTAAAGTATGCTACTTGCTACTTTTTAAAATGTTGATGGAAATGCTGTATAATAAGGTCAATATACATTTTGTTTAATAATTATTGCACGCAATAACATTGTGCCATACAGTTATATTCAACTTAATTTTAAAAAGCAATTAATTAAATGATTTAGATAAAGTAAAATTAAAGTTACAAACTGAAGTGATAACTTTTCGAGCACTTTAATTCCGCGTAGACCTTAAAGAAAATCAAGTGGAAACTTCTAAAATTGAATGTAAAAGACATAAATTATAGTTAAAAGGATATTTTCTATGTTAAACACATTTTTACTATTAGAATTGTTTTCTTGACATTCAAGTGTTATTCTAATCCTTATAAAGGTGAATGAACTTTGTTCTCCAGACAGTCATTGACTCCCCTGGAGTCATTGCCCTTAATTCATTAAATGTCTGGATACCCATTCCTGTTACTTTTTAACAAAAAAAAAAAAAAAAAAAAAAAAAATCAATCAAAAATCACCTAGAGGGGTAAAATACACAAGCTTAATGTGCATTCATTGTCCTCAACCATTAACTATATTACTGTTTGGTTACAAAGTCTTCCTGAGGAAATCATTTAGTGGCAAAATATCATGCCAAAGACTTTTTTTTTTTTTTTTGGCACAGTGATATGATGACTTATGTTTGTTTTTCCAGCTGTTTAGTAGTGGCAAAGTTCACATGCCCGTACAAAGTCACAGAATGGCATTATCATACTGTAAGCATCTTAACTTCTTTCGTGAGCTCAAATAAATCATGTGCTCTACATTTTCTACAAGATGCTTACAAGTTCAAACAGATGATGGTAATAGTTGCAAGCCCAAAACATCATCATCAGTTTTGAGCAGTGACAAAGCCCCCAAGCCTTTGTGTGTGTGTACTTGTGCAAATGTGAATGTGAGATCTGACATCACTTGAGTTCCCAAAACTACAGAAGCCAATAAAGCCACAAAGCTAAAGCACAATAGTTAGTTTCAGTATAGCCATGAGACCAACCATACTCATCCTTTGGCTGGCCATATAAGGAACAATTCTGATGCCCTCAAGCATATTAATATGTGGATGTGAAACTGTCTTGTTCAGGTGAAGCTAGGCGGGGCTGCTCCAAACTCCAAGGTGGTGAAGGTCCCCGGCATCAACAGACACTGGAGCATCAGCAGTAAAACCCACAACGAGTGCCACTTGCTGGACTTTGAGTCTCCTGACCGCCCGCTAGTGGTCAACTTCGGCTCAGCCACTTGACCCCCATTTATAAGCCAGCTGCCGGTTTTCCGGCGGATGGTTGAGGAATTTTCGGATGTGGCAGACTTCCTACTTGTCTACATCGATGAGGCTCACCCCTCAGACGGCTGGGCGGCTCCTCCCATGGAGCCCTTTTCGTTTGAAGTGAGGAAACACCGCAATCTGGAGGAGAGGATGTTTGCTGCCCGGAAACTTCTGGAGCATTGCTCCTTGCCACCTCAGTGTCAACTGGTGGCCGATTGCATGGACAACAACGCCAACGCAGCCTACGGTGTGTCCTACGAGCGGGTTTGCATCGTACAGAAGAATAAAATCGCTTACCTTGGGGGTAAGGGTCCATTTTTCTACAACCTTAAAGATGTTCTGCACTGGCTAGAGAAGAGCTATGGGAAGCGATAATTTCGGTCAAATAGCCTTTTCTGTGAATGGTAAAAGATTTTATTTTTGTATGACAGAGAGAAATCGAGGGTAAGGTGCTTTGGAACTGTTTAACGGTGGCTCCGGTGGAAACACTTGGGCTGGGCTCCAAGTTTTTTTTTCCCCTGAATTGTCTAAAATGATCAGCAGGTGTCCTACATTCCTAACCACTTTAAAATTAAATGAACATAGACACTAAATACTGACCATGTGGTTTGCACTTCAATTCTGAGATTATATTGTTGCCAGCAAAACAATTCGTAGATGCACTATTAATAACTTGTTCCTTTGCGATTAATGTAGAGTTAAAAGTGTGCAATATTTTTGTGCGACATATATTGCTTACAAAAGAAAACCAAATTGCTGAACAGAAGAGAAAGCACAAGTACCCAGCTTTTTTTTTTATGAAAAGAGAATAATTTATTTTTTATTGACATTCAATGTTTATTTTAATATGTGGCCTATTTATGTGCCTGTAATGCTTTCCTGTCCTCTCTTAAACTGACAATCGGTCATTTTCCATATTCCATGTGCCATCAGCTTTCACATCCCTGATATACTGTAAGCATTCTCAGCATCCCATTGTGAAAATTACTAATGCTAATCATTCACTCTGTATTGTACTTAACAATCACAACAATCTCACCACTCTTCCGGAGAAACCGGAAACAAATTAAGGGAACATGTTCCCGGCAGCCTCAGCCTCTGGGTTTAGTTCGGACACTTGCCTTCACTGCAGTGTACAGGAAAGCTGATGAAAAGTTTATTTACTCCTGAATGTTAGAGAAGTGTTTTAATGCTCTGATGGATAAGCAGTCGCTCATTTGGGTCAATGCGGTGCTGGTGTGCACATGAAAATCACAGACGAAATGGTCCACTGTCCTGTCTGTGGTTGGATGAGAGACCACACCTCTCTGTCCTGATCCAAATGGGCACGACTGCTGACATGCTGAAACAATCATTCTGAATCTGAATTACTATGGTGGCTTTGAGTTTTCTTTCACAGAACTGTTCTCATGTACCACAACCGTCCTCTTCCTTTTAATGAGGAAAAAGGAAAGAAAAAATAAAGCTGAACTGCTGTTGACTACGATTTCTCTCCCCCTGTTTTTTTCTTTGTGTTTGATTCTGGAAAATTTCAATGAGGTGGGGAGATGGGGAAAAGTTGGGTGGAGAACTCCAGATGGTGAAAATGTTTCAAGTGCATGATGATAAAAAAGGGAAATCCACCAGCTGTAAGGGGTCAAGGAGTACGTGTTTTTTTTTCCCCCCATTAACTATATATGTCTGCAGAAATGCATAGTGATGAGTCTGAACATGTGCAACACAATCAAACCATGTGACGCAGAGGTCTCTGGCTGAACTTCTGCTTCTTCAAGGCTGCCAATAACTAAATAGCAAAGGCTCAGGGAGAGCATGTCCCTGGGAAGCACCATGAAACAGAACCCCTTGTTGTGGTCGGGCATCGCTTATCCGTGCGGAACTAGTCCATTTGGACCGCTAAGACTTTATTCACAGAGTGTCTCAACCTTGGAAGGCACTATATGCTGCACGATGGATCAGGGAGGTTGCCAACGTTAAAGATGGTGGCTTCGGAAAAGAGAGCCACACAACAGCACCAAACACAAGCCCCACTCCAGGAAAGAGTCCCATGGTGTGCCTTCTAAGGAATGCCTTTGGTAAACAGGTACTGAACAGAATTCTAAGCAGCGTGTGAAGAAGTGTTCTCATTTATAGGCCATAACAAGGACGCCGGACAGAGAGGGTGGTGGTGGGGGGGACCTGGTCCCATTTATTCAGATTAGGTCAAAACATGACGCCTTAGAAAAGCGAACGTTTGCCAAATCGGCCAGTATAAATTCAAATGAAATGTTGACATACGCAAGTAAATGTATGTGTCTGCAGTTCAAAGATAAGCTCTTTATGTTCATACTTCGACAGTGGACTATTTGGTTTGGATGTGATCTGAACACTCTCTCGGAAAAATGATCTTAGGCCTAATATCAATATATTCAGTAAATCAGCTCACTCCAAACCGAGGGATGCCAAATATTTTATTCATATGTAATGCACTTTTTCCCTGCATGTATAAATATGATGAGGGGAAAAAGGAAAATTCCTGAAAGATAATTAGTTCTTAAAGGGATGGTTCACTGCAAAAGTTAAATTTACAATGCACCGCATTATGTTGCTCTAAACCTGCATGACTTTCTTCTGTTTCTTTATTCTTCTCTTGTATTCCTAGACGGCAACATATATCGGCACAAATCCAGTCCACATCTGGTTTGTGGAATCCAGGGCCCGTTTTTGCAAATGGTTTAATCTGTATAAAATTGATCCTGATTTAGTAATCTTTTTTTTTTTTTTCAAAGCAACATTGGACTGGATCACCCTGATCTAGATACACAGTTTTCAAGATTACCAAATCCAGATTACCAGTGCTCTAAATGGGACAGCATATCACAATGTGGGCTACCAGCTATGTAAAGAACAGGTAGAAGAGCCAACATGGGGTCACTGTACGTGTTTCTTATTTTGAGACAAAACACAAATGGGGACAAGATCATTTTTATTTTATTTTTACTTTACTATGGCCTACTGAATAGCTTAATTGTTGGCCTATGTCTACTTTATCAATGTTACAACGGTAACAAGTCGAGTGCAAAACATAAACAAAAGTATATACACTAAATGATACAAATGTATTATTTAACCAATTTTAAAGTTTTACTACATTTTCTTCCTGAAATCCACCTTGAAATCCTACCCCCTGTTGGGATCAGGATAATCCTGTTTTTTTGGATCAAAGTTATCCAAATCCCACTGACAAGTTTTGAACAACACAAACTGAAGGTTTGATCCAGATTAAAACTAGGATTGGATTCCCTGATCTAATCTGATTTCAGATTCCTTCTTTCCCTTTTGAACAACCCATTTTCAGGATTTGATCCAATCCGATAACCAAAATCCGATCAGTTTACCTTTGAACAACTCTAAAAAATGCTGGGTTGTTTCAACCCAAATTTGGGTCAAATATGGACAAACCCAAATGTTGGGTTAAAAATGTAATTAAAAAATTTAAGTTGAAAATGAAAGTTGAAGTTGGGTTAAAATTTTAAATTACATTTTTAACTCAATATTTGGGTTTGTCCATTTTTGACCCATATTTGGGTTGAAACAACCCAGCATCGTGTAGAGTGCAGTGCTCAAACATGATAGGAAATCGCAATGTGGAACTATATATGTAAAGAGCAACAAGTAGACAAAACAAGTAACAAACACTGTACATTGAGGATATTTATAACAAGTTTCAAACATATATCACTAATAAATATTCTAAAAACAAAAATATTTTCGATTGTGATATCAATTAGTGACAGAATACAATTTATTGTTTTTGGTCAATTTTGACAGCTGTTTGGGGGATTATTTTATGAGGCCAAACTCTTTCTACTTTGCTGTAGGCCTATACTGAAAGGCTGAATACGTTAAAGCCACTGTAGTCTGACGGAAAAAAAAAGTCAAAGATCAAAGTGATCCAGATCCTACAAAAAAGTTCTGAAAAATCCAAACTAAAGGTTTGATCCGGATCAAAACCAAGATTGGATTACGTGATCTAATCTGATAATGTAATCCATTTTTTCTTTTGAAAAACTCATTTTCAAGATTTGATCCAATCCGTTATCCATAATTGGATTACTTTTGAAAAACTGGGCCCAGGTGTACCAGTTGTGGGCCAGATCTGGGCTAACTGTGTTGCTGTCTGGGTTACACAGAAGAAAATAAGTCATAAAGGGTTTGCAGTTGAGGAAATGGATACAATTTTCATTTTGAGGGAATGTTTGGGGAAATATTCCTTTAAGAAATCCTATCATAAGCATTTGACTGTATTACATTCTACCAGCAGCAGGCCAAAATTGTCCTTTTGTTGTGATGACAAAACTATTTTATATTTAATTACTGATTCGTCATCTTTGTCAGTGAGGACATAAGCATTAAAGTTTTTGTATTTACCTGTAAATTATCTGAGTAAATTTCCCGTTTTCATCCACATACAGTACCTATTTTTACTGTTTTTAGAGTAATCCACCCTAACAGTTCTTATGCCATTATCAACATAATCCTGTCTATTCATTTGCCCTCTCTGTGACTTAGCAGCTTTTGGAGATGAACTATGCCAATGATCAAGCACATGGACAAGGCAAAGTATTGCTTTTATCTAAGTCTTATTAGAGTTAGAATTCAAAATAAACATCCACATTTATTTGATATTTGTTGAGCAACCGGTGTTTAAAGGGTTAGTTCACACAACAATTTTATTTCTGTCATTAATTACTCACCCTCATGTTGTTCCAAACCTGTAAGACTTGCTCTTCAGAACATAAATGGAGATTTTTTTTAGATGAAATCCAAGAGCTTTTAGACCCCCCATAGACATAAATAGTATTACCACTTTCAAGACCCAGAAAGGTAGTAAAGACATTGATAAAATAGTCTGTGACTACAGTTCAACCTTAATGTTATGAAGCGATGATAATACTTTTCATGTGCAATGTGAGTTCTCATTGTGGTAATGATATTATAACTCAGATTAATTAATTTGATCAATACACACAACTTGTTAACACACTCCACAGCGCCACCCAGTGCATTTTAATTATGCGAGTTAGTTCTTGGGATCGATCATGGATTCACTGCATTTACGGCCGACAAAGCAACGTAGTAAAATTCAAATAATATTTTATTTTTTGAATAATAATTACAATATCGAATATTTGAAAATTCAAATATTTGTGTGCACCCCTAGTTTGAACAGTGCCAGAGACTGACATGAAAGAGAAGAAATTGTTGAATAAAGTTGCTATTTTTGTTTCACAGAATAAAGAAGAAATGTAAAAGAACCAGATTTCTTTTTGTAATGCATTTGAACTATTTGCAAATAATATATATATATATTTTTTTTAACACTAATCTTATGCCAAAATGACGTCCATGCTTTTCCGGGCATCCGCGAGCATTGGGTTAGAGTGGAAGCCTCCACCCTCTCCCTAGCACTTGCGGCTGGACGATTGATTTTTGGGTGCGGCCACCGACCCTTCTCTGTGGCCAACCCCAATACCTTTTTTCCCGCATGTTCATGATGAGATCTCGAAGTCTCGAAGTAACGTCTTATAAATCTACGTCAACATCCGCCTTTTTAGGGTACCCTTAAACGTCAGTTAGATGACGTTATCGGATCCTAACCCCAACCCAAACCTAAACCTACCCATAAACCTACCCCGTCACCTAACTGACGTTAAAGGTAAAACGTCAGTTGTATGACGGCCCGGGATCGTCAACTAACCGACGTTTAAGGGTCCCCAAAAAAGGCGGATGTTGACGTATGGTCAAAAGACGTCCCAAGACGTCAGTTATATGACGACTTGGGATGAGACAGTGTTAGCTTTTTCTCCCCTCGATGGGGCAGCCCCTCAAACAGGAAATCGCAATGGAAGACGATTTCGATATATCTAAATGTTTAGTGAAAGGTAAAACTTCCGAAATCTCCGTGTAAACAATGCCTGACATAACGTTGTACACGGTTCAGTTCGGTTCAGTTGGACATCTGATTCAGATCAGTTCGACATGGCTGTTAACAAGAGGTAAAAACTATATAATTACTGTTCGTTTTCTCACACAAACCGCTCGTTTCGTGTCTTAGGCCATCAATGTGTACTTACATTCACGAGTCATTAAATCATGTTTAATTTGGACTTCTCTGTGCATGCTCTTTGAGGTGGACCCCATACCTGCATTATATGACTGACAGACAACACCGGTTTGACCAAAAAATGTCAAAATTGAAAATACTGTGGAAACAAAGACACCTACATCTTGGATGCCCTTGAGGTAAGCTAAAACATATCAAAAAATAATTTCAAAGTGAACTATCCCTTTAAGATGCTGCACAGATGTATATATGCATTGTTTTCTTCATCAGTGCATTAGGAATCAAGTTGAAATAGTCATAAATAAAAATAAAACAAATATAAAAAATAAATTCATCCTGCTCGTCTGATAAAAGCTGGGCTCACAGATGCTGAATTTTATGCG